ACCATTCCACTTTATTTGAAACATTTTTTATATCATTAAAAATAAATGAAATATTTAAGATGATCGATTTAAGTGGACCATCCTGTATGCAATGTCCCATTTTTATCGATCACTTCGAATATCTCTTGAATAATGCATTTTAAGGAAAAATGATAATTTTTCAGATAAAAGGAACTTCGAGGGGGACATAAGATGATGCCATTTGTTTGATTTTAAAGCATAGTCAAGATCAGGGCAAGTCATTTTGAATTTTTTAAGTAGAATCCTCCATTTTTCATATAATATTACCTCGAGAGTTTTTCAAAACACTATAATAAAATTTTTTCATTAAGTACTTTTCGAGTTATAAGACTTGAAAATTACAGTGCATTTTTTGGCACCCTAATACTTTTATGCACAAAATAATAAGATGAATCAATTGGTGTGCACAGTTGCTAAATAAAAGTTTTAAATAATCTATTTTATGCAAATCAAGGTCATCGATTTTTTTTAAACAATACTATTTTTGATTTCAGAATCTAACAGCTAATGTAAAGAGCTTTTCAAAATAAAGTTATTTTTCATAAAGTACTTTTCGAGTTATGATACTTGAAAGTTATAGCACTAACATTACGCCGGCTCTTTTTGTCGGCCGTGCTATAACTTGCAAGTCTTATAACTTGAAAAGTACTTAATAAAAATGAACTTAACTGTAGAGTACGACCGAAATTTCGGTTTCGGTTTTGGTTTCAATCGGTTTCGATAAAAAATCAGAGTTTCGATTTCGGTCGAAATTAAGAGAAAATTTCGATGTGTAAGCCGAAATTGTATAAGTTGCAACGCACCGATGAGCATTCAAAAAAACAACTGTTCGATTTTAATTATTAACTCGTTGATTAAACTTGATAAAACTTGAGATTATTTGAGTAAATTTTGATGTGATCCTAATAATAACTGTGATTTGATTTCTTTAAAAATTGAGAACAATATTATTATATTATTAGTTGGATATTTATTTATTAGTTGAATATTTTAATAAAACATTATTTTTAAAGAGTAAAGGACTTCGCACAAAATCATAAGATTTTGGCTCTGGGTAAAATTGGAAACTTTAGTTGTAGTTCTTGACTCGCAACACTGATCAAAAGTCCATAGGTGTACAAAGTTTAAAAATAACCAATTTTTTTGTTATAGCCGTAAAATTTAATTTCAGTAAAATTTTATTTCATTAATGCCTCAAAATCAGGTTTTTGTAATAAATCAAGAGATTTTAGATAACAATGTGCCAACCATTCTCATGACCCTCACCTTCACTCTCTCTCACTCCCACATACATACGTCTGCGCGCACATTTTTATAAAAAGTGCATAAAAATCGAAGTAAATCTTTATTATTACACTTTTGTATGTGCATGCGTGCGTGCGTGCGTGTATCAATGGTATGTTTATGATTTCGTTTTTCGCCCGTTTTCAAACTCG